CCTCCCCTCCCCTCCGCCCTTCCACCATTACTTAAACATAATTTTATGATTGCATGTTTTGTTCATAAAGAAGCTCATCGATTTCTGTTTTTTTTTTCAGTTGTGAAAGAGTGTGATTATGACAAAAACCCGTGTCGACACAATGCAACATGTATTGACATGGGTAAAGACTACATCTGCAAATGTCCTACGGGTGTTAAAGGAAGAAATTGTGAAACTGGTGAGTTAAACCAAGGAAGCAATCAAACTGTAAATGGCTATAATTTGTCATGCTACGATGTAGTAACTAAAGAATATGCGTTGAGTTCCCAAAAGATCACACCCGCCGAGAATGAGGGGAGAGAGAAAGAGAGAGCCAGGATAAAATTCTGGGAAAAGTATAAATCAAAGGAAATCACAACTCAATTATAGTTTACAAAGATTAAATGTGGCAGGTCTCAACCGTAACTATTTCTTACAACAATCTTTCACGGCTACCTATAAGAGCACAACTCGCGACGAAAAATTGATATTCCATGGAACAAAGGTCTTGAAAATGCGTTAGAAGACCGCCTTTAAACTGTGGCTCAATCCGCGCTTCACAAAAATTACCATCTAACCCAACATGAGTTACATGTTTTAAGGTGGTGAAAAAGGTGATCAGAGTTTTATTTTTCATCTCTCTTTAGACATCAATGAATGTAATACCGTGACGTGTTCCAACGGAGCTACTTGTATCAACACTGTTGGCAGTTACATGTGCAAATGCAGACCTGGATTTGAAGGAAAGAAATGCTGCTCAGGTAATTTAGCAGCGTCTTATTATCATAGAGAAATAGGATCTGTGAAAAAAAAAATTGAATTTATTTGTCACCAAACGAAAGAAAAATAAGAACCAGAGATGGAATGTACACGCAAAGACGAAACGCACGTGTTACTAAGCTTGAAACGGAAACTTAGTCGCGAAATTTTATGACGTTCTTCTCCATTTACAAAATCTGCTCATCATTCTGGGCACTAAATGATGGTCAGGAGGCGCCGTGGCCTCATGGTTACTGCCCTCCACGTCCAGGTTCGAGCCCTGGCCGGGGACATTATGTTGTGTTTTTGGGTTAGACACTTTACTCTCGCAATTCCTCTCTTCACCTCACCTGACTCAGGTGTTTAACTGGGTACCTTCGAATCAATGCTGGGTGTAACCTTGCAATGGACTAGCATCCTATCGAAGGGGGTGTAAAAATATTCCTAGTCGCTTCATGCAACGGAAACTGGAGATAAGCACCGGTCTGGTGGGCCACTTGGCTAGTATGAAGACTTTCTGGAATGACTGGATATGGATGATAACATTTTTAAATCAGGACTCAGTAATGCCTGTAGAATCTGTTATCTTAATCTTTCTGATTCATTAGATAATCAAAAAGTACTGTTATGGTTCAAGTTTAAAATCCACTCAATCAAGTTTACTTGCTAGTAACTTGCTTCCCCCTGGAAATACCACCCATTCCGTTTGTACCCTCACAAAATTCGCTTCCGCTTATATTTTTTTATACACCCTTCTGTCGTTTCAGATGTTAACGAATGTGAATCGTCAAACGGCGGTCCCTGTGAAAATGGAGGAACTTGTGAGAATACATATGGCAGCTTTTGGTGCGCATGTCCCAAAGGGTTTATTGGGAAACGTTGCGAACGCGGTAAGTCCAGATTACTGTTATTTGTTCCTTCGAATAGGAATTTCAAAGTGTACATGCACTATTTAGCATACTGTTATTTTCTATCCGAATTGGCAGCCGACATTGGATATCTATGATGACGTAAAAATGTATCCATCAATCTCTTTTCTCTCTCTTTTTCTGGAGATTGATATATTGACCATAAGAGTAACTACGCTGTTACGTGTCTTGAATCCTTATTCAACACCTTCAATGACATCTTCGGTATCATTATCCAATGTGCTTCGTGCAACTTCAAACCTTACCAGTATCAACCTCTCCTTGCGTTGCAGATCGTGATGAATGTGTGAATGGGCCGTGCGAGAACGGAGGAAAGTGTATCAATAAAAGGGGAGGCTACGACTGCTCTTGTCCAGATACCTATCAGGGAGAGCATTGCGAGCAAGGTAACCGTCCAACGTTTAACATTGAATAAGAACACTTCATATTCCTAACATACTACCCTATCAAGATTCACTTCTACATTAAAGATGGTTTCTTCTTTACAAGAAGCATCCATGAAGCCTACAACTAACAGTTTAACTGGGTTGCCATAAATGTTGCCGTGACTGTGTGACTGAATAGAAATATTGCTGGCTTGACGGCTTTCCGGAAATATGAAACAGATGCAGCAAGAAAAATTTTCATAACGCCCCACATAGATAACAGGCTAACTGCTCTATGTCAGAATTTCCTTTGACCGTTGTGGAGCTAAGACGTCCACGATGGATATCTCTTGTGATTTTCTTAAAATTTCCTACAGATGTAGACGAATGTCTCGCAAACAACCCATGCAAGAATGGAGCAAAATGTACCAATTTACAAGGAGACTTCAAGTGTGATTGTCCAAAGGGATGGAAAGGGAAAAAATGCGACCAAGGTGAGCTTTCTTTTCTCCTTTCTCTCACAAGGTATCTTCCCGGCACTTTTGCTTAAGTCCCCAAGTGTGCATGCAAATTGCTGCTCCACCAACGTGGAATTCTTTTCCATCGCAGGCTTTTACTTAGCACTACAGGAGGTGTACCCAGTACCTCACCGCTACTCATTTTTGTTCCTGATTGGATAGGGGCACTATGACTGTTAACTGTTTAGCCAAGAACAAAGCACAATGACTCCAGCCGGGGCCCGTACCTCACCAAATAATTTACCTGAACGTCCAGATCTAAGGCAATTTGTAGTTGGAATAGAGGGGACAAATTTAAAAGTTCCTTAGAAATGCTCAGCTACTAGAATAAAGGCCGTTGTAGATACCCATCTAAAATACTGATCGGTTTTAAGGCTTGGCAGTATTCGATAAAATTACCAATATATTGCGCCAGATTTCTATTGTTGTCGTTGACTTGTCGCATTCGGTAAAAAGACTGAAAGTCCTTGAATCGACATTTTAGCCTTTTTCTTTTTTTCCACAAACAGCCATTTATGATCCAGAATGCCTACTTACGAAAGGTTTTTGGGATGGCTAAACTGATCTTTATTGTGAGGGACTTAACCAATGGTGACATGGACTAACCAATGGCTAAATTTTGGAGCTCTAGATTATCGTCATATTAGTTAGTCTTGCTCATTCATGCCTCACTGAATCTATCTCCAATTCACAGATGTCAACGAGTGTACTTCCTCTCCATGTAAAAATGGCGGCACATGCGTCAACTTACACGGCGGCTTCGAATGTCTTTGTACACAGCAACATTCTGGTGTTCTCTGTGATCAAGGTAAACTCGATTATCTGTGAGGTGTTGATGTAAAAAGGAACGGCAGAACCAGTGGGAACCTGAGACTCTAGTTCTGAGGCCGCTATTATTGATGGAGAAAAAGTTTAAGGAAAAAACATTGCATAGCTCTAGAACGTTCTTATGGAAGTTCCAAACTTTGTTGCCTTTGTTATCTTTCCCCGTTTGGATTTTCTTATACATGTAGCTGTTCCTGTTAAGTGCAAGCAGCATGTTACGAAATCTTTAATCGTATGCAGTTTCTGCGCTGTCCAAACAAAATTAACTTGATCCAGGCAAAGGCTAAAGCGTTTTGTCCTTCTTTGCTGTTACACAGCATGCAATGCAGCCCTCGGAATGGAGAGTGGCGCCATATTGGATGCACAGATCACTGCTTCTTCGCAATATGATGGAAATCATGCCGCTAAGCAAGGAAGGTTGAACTTTAAGGCGGTTCCAGGTAAAGCAGGAAGCTGGTCAGCTCGTACAAATGATGGCAACCAATGGCTTCAGATAAAACTTCCTAGCAACACAAAAATATCACGTTTTTCGACGCAAGGAAGGAATGCGTACAATCAGTGGGTTAAAAAGTACCAGCTGTTGTACAGTGAAGATGGACTTCACTTCCGTTATTTTCACGAGCAAGGACAGAGCTCGCCTAAGGTACAACTATCATTTTCATTTCCTTGAACACACACTAGTAATCTTTTGAAAAACATTTTTTTACGTTAAGCAAGTAATTTGCAGTTATTAACTTTACTCACGTCTTCCAGGAATTTCAAGGCAACAGTGACAGTAATACTATTGTGTATCACGCGTTGAATCCGGCTATTGAAGCTCGCTTTGTTAGGCTTCGTCCTACAGCCTGGCACAACCACATATCCATGCGAATGGAGCTGTACGGATGCGAAGGTATTCATAAATAAGGTTCCTCATAACATGGCTGTGACATGAAGCGTTGGTTTAATTTGTTATTTCTTTGATTTTTTTTTTTTTAAGAACTAGTTAGAGTTTTCATTCAAAAAACTCTTGTCTCTTTGTATCTAAATACTTACAGTATGTGTTCAAGCGCTTGGAATGGAGAACGGGGATATCGTAGATGCACATATCACCGCTTCCTCAGAATATGATGGAAATCATGCCGCTAAGCAGGGAAGGTTGAACTTCCAAGCGGTTCCAGGTAAAGCAGGAAGCTGGTCAGCTCGCAGAAATGATGGCAGCCAGTGGATTCAAGTAAAACTTCCCGGCTATACAAAGATAACCCGGTTTGCGACACAAGGAAGAAATGCTTTCAACCAATGGGTTACGAAATACAAGTTACAGTACAGCGAGGACGGTGTGACTTTTCATTATTACCATGAGCCAGGCCAGAGTTCACCTAAGGTACTATGACATGCATGTAACGTCATAAAAATACAAGCAACCTCTTTAGAGCGACGTACTAAACGTGATAAAAGGCGCTCTAAAAGCCACGCTGAGACAACGAACGGCTTCTTTCAAGCGTTTTCCCTACACGTCCTTCAGTCCTCGTAGAGACCACTTAAAGGTGATCAAAGCAAGATTTTCCCAAATCATTTTGTCCCCTCAAAAGACAAACAAACAAACTAACGTTTCCAACCGGATTACCCATTAAACCCCCACCGAACCGAAGGCGAAAGTGTACAGTGATTTTCACCTATAGAGACTATTTACTAAAGGTATTTTGTCGAAATAGTTTTCTCTGTATTGGAAACTATTTCATTCGCTTCCATCTCTAGTGATTATTTTCTTGTAAGGAGATGAAAACACGGGACCAATTTCTTAAGAGGGTGATGTTTTAAAACTGTCATGAAATTACCCCTAGGGTTTGGGGGGAAATCAAAGAAAGGAGCAGAGGGTCTTGGAGCTAAAATTATGACAAAGAAAGGATTGGCATCCAGAGCAGAAGGTTGATAAATACATTTTAGATGTTAATTGGTTAACTTGCTCAAGTTTTGTCTATTCATAGACATTTGATGGAAACACGGACAGTAACACCATTGTGACCCATGAATTGCTTCCCCCCATCCAAGCACGCTACATCAGGCTTCGTCCTACCGCTTGGGTCAATCATATATCAATGAGGATGGAAGTCTATGGTTGTCCAGGTAATATTGTGATCACGTGTACGCTAACAGGGTTCATTTCTAAATATTCTTCATTTATGAGAAACTTTACTTAATCAGAGTGAAATTCTAAAGTTATTTTCTTTAACTTTTAGCATTAGTTGGTTTTCTCATTGCAAAACTCTCGTCTTTTTTTCACTTTGAATTATTACAGCCTGCGCTAAACCACTTGGTATGGAGAGCGGCGGCATAGTGGATGCTCAGATCACTGCCTCTTCAGAATGGGATGGAAATCATGCTGCTAAACAGGGACGGTTGAACTTCCAAGCGGTTCCAGGTAAAGCAGGAAGCTGGTCAGCTCGCAGAAATGATGTCAGTCAATGGATACAAGTAAAACTCCCCGGCTACACAAAGATAACTCAGTTTGCCACACAAGGAAGAAATGCATTCAATCAGTGGGTAACGAAATACAAGTTGCAGTACAGCGAGGACGGTGTGACTTTTCGTTATTATCACGAACCCGGCCAGAGTTCACCTAAGGTACTAAAATATGTTTATAACATTAAAAAAGGACGATCATGCTTTAGTGGTGTGCAAAACTTTTGAGAGGCCCGTGTTTGGGAAGGCGCTGAGAAGCCCCTTTGAGGCTAGGACAGGCTTCTGTCAAGCCTCTTCCCTGCGCGTAATACTCTTCAGTGGAGGCTACTACATTGTATAAATAGCGAAACTTTATCAACCCAGTTTTTATTAATTCACCATAATGTTTAAAACTGGAAAAAAGCTTTTCTTATTTGACAAAAAAATCTGCCAATGATTTTGACAAGTTTAAATGATCTAGCGGGGATATTTTGAAAAAATTTTTATTGCGTTTCTACCTCTGCTTTTCACTTTCTTACAAATGAGTGAAAACACAGAACCAATGTAGGCCTACTCTAGGACCTTAAGTTGCCTTAAATCACCCTAAGTCGCCTAAGGTCGCCTTAAGTCGCCTTAAATTGCCTTAAGTCGCCTTAAGTTGCCTTAAGTCGCTATCGGTTACGCAATGTTATAAGGGTTCCACCCTTCTGAATTGACCCCACTCACCCCACCCTAATCCTATTGTGTTTATTGCAAGGGATCCTGTATATATTTTTAAGGTTTGTGGAGAGACTGCTGCTATCTCTGATTTTGTCACTTCAGTCAAATAAAATCGCTTTAAGTCACCTTAAGTCGCCTTAAGTCGCCTTAAATTCCTTAAAGTCGTAATATTTTTTCCGCCAATTCTGCTTAAGTCGCCTCAAGTCGCCTTAAATCGCCGAAAATCGCCCAAAGTTACGGCGACGTAAGGCCCCAAAGTAGGCCCCAATGTCTTAAGAAGGCGATCTTTTGTAACTCCCATATGCATGAAATTAAACCTTTTCATTTCCATGCGGGATCGCATAAAGATTGGAGAGAAGAAAGGAAAATATCAACTTGGGAATATTTAATTTATGAGCTAACATCATACAAATGAATGGCAGAACGGATAATTGATTTTTAGATCTTGTGTGTCAATTGCTTAACTTGTTATAAATTTGTCTTATTTATAGGAATTTGATGGTAATACAGACAGTGACACAATTGTGACCCATGAGTTGTTTCCTCCTGTGCAAGCACACTACATAAGACTTCGTCCTTCTGCGTGGGTTAATCATATATCAATGAGAATGGAACTTTACGGATGTCGAGGTAATATTGTGACCACTGTTAGAGGTTATACTGCTTATTGCTTCTGATTATGAACAACCTCTCTATCTAACCAAACAAAAAATTTTAAATTTCTAAGTTCATTTCCTTCACGTTTTTAAAATAAATCAGAATTTCTATTTCAAAAAATCTCGGCTCATTTTATTTTGAATTATCACAGCTTGCTTTCAAGCACTTGGAATGGAAAATGGTGACATCTTAGATGCTCAGATCACTGCTTCCACAGAGTATGATGGAAATCATGCCGCAAAGCAGGGAAGGTTGAACTTTCAAGCGGTTCCAGGTAAAGCAGGAAGCTGGTCAGCTCGCAGAAATGATATCAATCAATGGATACAAGTGAAACTTCACGACTACACAAAGATAACATGGTTTGCGACGCAAGGTAGAAATGCTTTCAACCAGTGGGTAACGAAGTACAAGTTACAGTACAGCGAGGACGATGTGACTTATCATTATTACCATGAACCAGGCCAGAATTCACCTAAGGTACTATAAAATGTTTGGGGCTGCGTCGGTGGGGGTAGCGAAATAATTTGAATATATCAACAAAGTTGGAATGGTAAATTGGCCACCGTAAGGATTATAAAAACTGACGTTTCGAGCGTTAGCCCTTCGTCGGAGCGAATGGCGAGGGGCTAACGCTCGAAACGTCAGTTTTTATAATCGCAACGGTGGCCAATTTACCATTTCAACTTTGTTTATATATTCATACTATAAAATGTATTTTACGTTACAAAAATACAAGCAACCTCTTAAGAGCGGTGTACTAAAGTTGATAAATGGGGCACTAGAAGGTAAGCTTGAGCCACAAGGGGGTTCTCTCGAACCCGTTTCATTGGGTCGCAGTTCCCACTCAGGCTGCGTTTGAATCAAAATGTTGAAAAGCCATTTTATTTTTTCAATAACGAGAACATCTTATACTGGATTAAACGTTTAATTCCTCGTTTTCAGAACCTACCGATCCCGCGATAAATTTGACTTTTACGTAATTTACAGATATTTTGTTGATAACTTTCTAAAGAGCGGGTTTGAATCCATTTCTTATATTTCCACATTTAGCGATCATTGTTGAAGGCAAAGAACAC